ATAATAGAGAAAGAGAAAGAAAAAACAGACCTAACTGTAGTGGTGTAGATGGTAGGCCTTTGCCAAGGGATACTGAAGCCATGTGGGAGGCTCTGGGTTCAGATCCCAGGTGCGCCATTGAGTGCATGGTCCTGATTGGTTGGAAGGTGAGTGGAGGCTGGGGGAATCACAGTGTAGCAAGACCCTGTGAAGGATACCTGCACTCTCTCTTTCAAGAAATAAGCTTTTTTAAAAAGAGAGAGAATGAGGGCCAGACAGTGCTGTGGAGGTTAAGGCAGCTGGGTCCCACATGGCCAACTGCATGGTTCAAGTCCCCAAACGAGTAACTTGAAAATCATGCTGGATGCTTGTGCGTGCATGACCAAAATCCTAAGAGGAGACTGTGGTGTGGCCATCCCCCCGGGGAATGATTTCTCATCACTCCCCCATCTCTTTCTTGCTAGCATACATACCCTACATAAACCAAAATTAAAGGGGGGGGAACAACAGATAAAAGAAATATACAAATTTATTTTAATTGTCTTTACAAAATCTTATAGGAGCTAACAAATACAAACTGAGAACAGATTTGTGTTGAAAACATCTTCCTTTTTTGTGACACATTTGAAGACACAGTTGACAATATTTTCGTGGGACGATGTGGTCTATATTTTCCTAACACTTAAGAATTGTGTCAAAATGAATCTGCTGTTTATATATAAAAGTTAGAGCTTGACTAAGTGTGAAAGCAGAGGCTACTGTCTAAATACCTGTTCTGGCTCTTGGCTTTTCAGAGAATGTAGAGTGGCTTTTCACTGTCTAAGCTATGCATAGTATTTACCTGATTTTAAGACACTTTTTTCTCTCTCTTTCTTTATTTTTTAAAGAGAATTTTTATTTATTTATTTATTTTTAATTTTAAATTTTTTGGAGAGGTTTTTGCTCTAGGGCGTGTGCGCTTGCCAGAAAGTCAGAGAAAGACAGAGAGACAGAAAGTGAGAAATCACCCTCCCAGGGGGAATGGCCACACTGCAATCCCTTCTCCTCCATTCTCCTCTTGGGATCTTGGGCACGCATGCACACACTCCCAGCATGAGTTTAAGTCACCAGGTCCGGGACTCGAACCGTGGTCAACTACATGGGAGTCCAGCAACATAGCCATTTCATCAATAAAGTCAATAAAATATACAGGAAGCATTTTATTATTTTTATTTTTATTATTTTATCTCTTCCCTGTAAAGCACATTCCCTGCCCCTCCCTGTTCCTTATGAAGCTTACAGCAAGGCCCACCGCAAAAGAAAGCCTTCATCCTATTGACTCACTGGCTCCATACTAAAGTTCAATACTTCAAGTAGAGGTTTGTCTTATATTTTCAGAGTCTATACTTTTTTTTTTTAGAGAGAGAGAGAGATTTTTGATATAGGGTGTGCATGTTTGCCAGAGAGACAGAAAGCAAGAAATCACCCCCTGGGGGATGGCCACACTGCAATGCCTTCTTCTTCATTCTCTTCAAGGGATTTTGGACATGCACACACACATGCCCAGTGTGACTTTCAGGCCTCTGGGTCTGGGGCACGAACCATGGTCAGCTATGTGGGAGTCCAGTGACATAACCATTACACCATCTGTGGGTCTCAGAGTCTCCACTCTTACAGCTCACGAGAACAGTCATCATTAGAAAGCACTGACTTAGCACAAGTAACTGGAACATCTCCATCTTGGCAGAAGTTCTTTCTTTTCTTGGTTTTCTTTTCTTTCTGTAGACTGATTCCTCACCTATCTATTGTTCTTATCATAAATTTCAGTGTAATCCAAGATTGGGCTTAGAAAATCAGGTATATTTTTGTTCCATTCTATGCATGTCTGGCAACTGATTATCCTAGCAAAGTACTGGGTTGTCAGAAAAGTCAAGACTTATTTTTCTAAGTTTCCTATGCAAAAATGCGCCATGACTTTTTAACAGCTCAATATATCAGGACCAGTGAGATAGGAAGAGGGGTGGCCAGTGTTTAGAGACCTTGCTTCAGAAACAGACCCAAAAGCGCAGGTCAGACTTCACGGAAGGGGTGTGGGCTATGGAACCCGAGAGACCTGGGTCTCTGTCTCAGACTCTGCTGTGTGACTGCACGTGCAAGGTTGGAACAATACTGCTAGCCTTGCGAGGTGATGACAAAAGTCACAAGTGTGTAGTGTTTGCCCACAGGAGAGGCTTAAGAAAGGAGGGTTAATGCAGGTTCAAGACTGCGTAGAGGAGAGGGCAGGCCCAGGAGGAACTGGGGAAGTTGTTGCAGCCTGCAGTTTTCACCCATGTCCTTGTTTGTCCCTGCTGGAGTCCCTTTACGATCAAGACTTACACCAGTTTGGAACTGCTCTCAAGTGGATGTCTGTGATCACTCATTTACATTTCAGCATGAATTTAAAGTGAGTCAGACAGGCCTGCTTTGAAATTCTGGTTTTGCTGTTCATCGGTGGTGCCATGGGGTGTGTGCTCAGCCTGGGTCCTAGTCAGGGTCTCCAGGGACATGGATCTAGTAGGAAGTGTGGAGCTAAAGACACATACAGGTACAAACATACAGAATCAGATATAGACATGCTAGAGAACTTTGAAATGTTCATTAAAAAGTAGAACTAAGTCCAACTTTATATTAGTGCAAAAAAAAGGGAAATCTATGCATAGATTTTTTCATACTATGCATTTTTCATGAACTTTTTGAAGACCCCTTGTAGCTCCAGATAGAGAAAAGGAATTAGCTCAAGCTTTTATGGAGGCCGACAAGGCCCATAATCTGCAGGGTGAGTGGGAAGCTGGAGAGCCAAGGATTTAGTTTCAGTCCAAGTCCAAAGGCCTAGAACTGGAAAACCCAAACGCTACCAGGTTCAGGACACAGGAAGAACCTGTGCTTCAGTTCAAGGTCAAAGACTTCCAAAAGCTGATTTGTTTTTTGTTTTTTTTTGGAGAGGGTTTTCGCTATAGGGCGCGTGCGCTCGTCAGACAGAGAGAGACATAGAGACAGAAAGCGAGAAATTACCCCCCAGGGGGGATGGTCACGCCGCAATCCCTTCTCCTCCATTCTCCTCTTGGGATCTTGGGCACGCACTCATACGCGCCCGGCGTGAGTTTTAAGCCAGCGGGTCCGGGACGCGAACCACGGTCGACTACATGGGAGTCCAGCGACATAGCCATTACACTAACTGCTGGTTCCCCCAAAAGCTGGTTTTCAAAGATGGTCAGGCAGGAAGAATTTTCTCTCAGTCTAGGTATGGTTGGCCTTTTGGTTGCATTCAGATCTTCCACAAATTGGATGAGATCCAGTCCTATGGGGGAGAGCAATCTGCTCTGCTTGGTCTGCCTGCATCAATGGAATATCACCCAGAAGCACCTTCACAGATGGACCCGAACAAAGTCTGACAGAATCTCTGGATACCATGTGGCCCCGTCAAGGGGACACGTAAAATTAATCTCATAATTTTTCTGACTCTTACTATATTTTTTGTAAAAAAGAGATAGTAATATTTTACCATGGAAGTGCTGTCAGCAGTAAAGGAGAACATACAGTCAAGGTTCCTAGGATTCAATAAATCATCACTTTCCCTCTATTTTTCCTTCGATTGTCAACATTTTAAGCACCTGTGAACAGGGCAAGGAGCTATCTTGGCTTTGTGTTCTTCCCTTCTCTTTCTTTGCCCCTGAAATCCCTTCATACTCATGATCCAGCCTAGCCTATCTCTGCCTGCGAGACAGAAAAGCCACTAAGTCATCCCCACAATTAAAGCACCCCTTCTCTTATAAATTTTCTTGTGGTATTCAAACATCACCTGGCAAAAAGAGCAGAGCCAATTTGCCAGTTGGGAAGAGCCTTGTCTTCTAAACTGATCTCTCCATACTCATCACAGACCACCTCTTTCCTGGTCGTGGTGTTCCTTGCAAGGCAAGATGACCAAGATGGCCAAAGCAGTTGAAGTTTCACCGTGCTTTGTGAGCGGCCCAGCTGCTTCTCCGTGCAGTGGCAAAGCAGATTGCTCGGGTAAGCAAGATGAGCGGGGCAGGTCCTCTGATCAGTGCTGGTGGGGGGAGGGAAGAGTGGGGGTATGGGGGTGGGGGTTTTGGAGAGGTGAGGCCATTCATCACTTCAGAATGACCCTGCGTGTTCTCCCTCAATATTCTACTCTGCTCCTCTGTTGATGTGATGACCACATTTTCCCTCCAAATTGCACCCTAACTCCCATCCGGTGTTTCTTTCCACTCTTCCCATTTCCAGATGATAGTAATTTCATTCCGGAGTGTTTAATCCTGAGTAAATCAATACAGCTCTCTTATTTTCCATCAGTTTAATCTTAAGCGAATTGAATTTCGTTCTCACTTAAGATGGGAAAGGGGCTGGGGAAGCCGCCCGGAGAACCACGATGACTATATTGTGCTGGTCTGTGTTTCCGTCAGCCCCAAATACGCTTTCGGTTTGACCGTGGCTGTCATGGTAGGCCCAATTCTTGACAATCTCGCTTTGAGGCCTATAGGCTTAGCTATTTTGCCAAAATCAGAAGGAAAGAAGCAAAATATTGACTTTTCCTAATAGTATTACCAAAAAAAAAAAAAAAAAGGTCTGCGGCGTCTTGTTCTCGTTTCACTGAGTAGTAATTACAGATCTTGAATTTAACTCAGTCATCCTGTAACACTATAATCGGTGTATACACGTTCCTCTGGGTTCTCTGAGGGAAATGGGACATATCTACCCAGGGTTAACTGCTGTCAGAAAAATTCCTAATGAGAAAGGTGGGACTTTCAGACGATTTCTGGCAGGCCACTTCCTGCCCTTCTTTTTTCTTTTTTTAACAAACACGTGCACTTTATTGAATCCCATCGTAGTCAGACATGTGAGTAGAAGTGGCTGTATAAAGCAAGGGGCAGGCCCGAAGGCCCCGGGGACTGGTCAGCAGTGGTGGTGGACATGGTTGCAGGCCATGGTCATTGACTATGAGCATTGGAAAGACTCTTTCATCCAGTGAATCCTATCTGCAATTATTACTGGAGCCGCGGTGAAAGGATGATGAACATGACGGTCAGAATGATGCCGAGGACCAGGGCGAAGATGTTCAGGCACTTGGCGGTCAAGGCGTAGGTCTGGGCCCCGATCACGTCGCCCACCATCTTCCTGTCCCTAGACTTCACGGAGTAGGCAAACGCGATGGAGCCCAGGCAGCAGTAGTTCATGAAGACCGTGTTGAACAGGGACCAGACCACATGATCGGGCACCGAGGTCTCGCTGCGGATGTTGATCACGGTGGGCGCCACAGGAGACGCGGGCGGGGGTATGGTGAGCACTACAGGAGACGCGGGTGGGGGTGCCCCCAGCACAGATGCCTCGTGCTCTTCCTTGATCATCTCATAGTTTGGGGGAGAGCCGGTGCTGGCGCGAGTGAGGAAGGTTTGGGAACCATGGTTCACGGCGCACAGGCTCTGATGACCAGGCGGGCTGCTGTTCTAAAAGTTGTTTCAATTTCTCCCCTGCCCTTCTGATATTTAAAAAATACATCGAAACGCTGAAAATCATTTTGATCACTAATCAAAATAAAAATAGTCTCTTGGAAATGATTACCCTCTGGCTGAATGAAAGGGCCCTGCTTGTGCAGCCAGGTTCTCTGCCTCTATGGAACCCCAGGCACGTGGTCGGGTACTCTGTACCCGGTTCCTGGCTTTGAGGCTAGGACTCAGTAGTGGCAGTCATGCAGCCTGGGAGTCTGGGGCAGTTGGCCATTCCCCATCTTTCTCATCCTGCCACTCTGAATAGGTGGCTCTGACTGTCCTGAGCTCCACAGCTGGCTTTCCTGCTGTCTTCTGAAGCCACGCATTGCCGAGTGCTGTATTGCCTACATCTGAAAAGCACATCTAACACCTTTCCCTCGCAGTTCATGCTCCTGCCTACAGCACGCATTGAAGTCAGACTGCTCAGACCCATCTGTATCCAGCACACCACCCTGCAGCCTCCAGGGGAAGGCTGGTCATTGTCCTTTGCTGAGTGCTGACTTAGACCAGGAGCATTCTTTTTGAAAGATTTTTAATATAGGGTGCATGCGCTCGCCAGAGAGACAAACACAAAGCGAGAAATAATCCCCCAGGGGTGATGGCCAGGTTGAAATTCTTTCTCCTCCATTCTCTTCTTGGGATCCTGCGCACACACGCACATGTGCTTGGCGTTGAGTTTTAAGCCGCCGGGTCTGGGACTCAAACCACAGGTGACTACGTGGGAGTCTAGCGATGCCATCTGCTGGTCCCAAGGCCAACAACATTTAAGCAATGTTCACAGCAGCTCATTGGAACCTCACTTACCCTGTGAAGTAGATACTCTTATTAATCCCTTCCTTGCTGGGTGGGGAAAAGAATGCTCATATGTTAAGGAAATTGCTCAAGAGCACACGACTAGACGATCCAGAGGTGGCATTTGACTCAGGGATTGAGACCGCAAAAGCCATGCTCCAGCCACTGGGTGATTTCATCCAAGTCCCCTCAGAAAAATGGAGGCGCGCTTTGTTGTATTCTTGTATTTCTGCATGGCAGTATTTCATCAGTCCACGCCAGGTTTCCTTTTATCCACGCCAAGTTTCCTTTTATTACTTTTGCTTGTATTCTCTTTCCCAAATTGCTTTAATCTCTAAATCCCTGCTCATACATTTCTTCCTCTTACAATTCTGGTTTTTCTAAATATGTCTAATATCACGTTGTGATTAAGGTCCTAACCCTTGATCACGCGTCCAACTTCTGAAAGCTTCAAAGCAAAGTTGCCTGAGGCAGAGAGACCAAAAAAAAATGGAAATGCAAAATTTACACTTCAGCAATATGTTTGGAGTCCCCTCAAGGAGCCAAGGGCTGTCTGGCGCATATACAGACATCACCCTGTTCTCGGGATGGTGCCTGCCAGTGACCCTCCTTTTAAACAGGGATGTTGTGCTCTTGTTGTACGTGTACCCAGAGATCGCCGTGTTAAATTACTGTTGTTGTGGATGGCTCCTTCCTGGTAGCATTCTGTGTTGGGATGTCAGGGGGCATTTTTTAGCTCAGAGGGGAAGTAGAGTTTTCTCTATAATACTGTAGGCCTTGTCCCAGTGACAGCTTTAAGAGTGTCCTTAGGAAAAGGTCACTGAGTATCAGCCCTTCCGCCAGCAACTCGGCAGGAAGGGATAAGCCTTGAAGTTCTTCCCAAAGGTCATCCAACCCTGAACCTGGCTAATAATGTACCCATAGCTGGAGGCTTTGGGCCAAGGACTTCCAGAGGGCCAGGGACCATCTGCAATGCCCTTGGTAAAGGAATGGGTCCCAGCTGTTGCAGGGGAGGGAGATTGAAGAAGAGCCAGTCCCATGGGCAAGATGACCTGTGTTCCCTCGGCATGGAATACCAAGGATATTTATTAATCACCTTGAACTTGACCAACCTTCTCTGTGCTGCAGAAGCATGATTGTATTGGGGTATTTATGGGACTCCGACCACCATACTGATTCATTCTTCCTTCCTGACTGCCAGCAATTAATTCTGCTTAACAAGTATGTATTGACCACCTGCTCTATAGATAGCACTGTACTAAGAAGATGGGATTCACATGACGAATAAGGTAGAGTGGTTTCAGTCCTTGCTGTGGGAGACAATAAACAAGTAAACACCTAAGTAGTTCGTCATTATAATTACAAGTGCAATTACTATGAAGTTAATGAGATAAAAGCTTCAAGGGTCTCTCAATTGCATCACCCCCTTCCGAGGCCCCAAAGGCTGTGCTCACGGGATTGAAGTTGGAGGGAGCAGGTCACCAGTTTATGCACAGGCTTGAATGTTTTTGTAAAGTTTGCTAAAAAAGCAATATATTTTTGAATTCTTTTTCATAAGGAAGGCTCACCAAATGTATACCCTTCAGCCCGATTACAATGCAAGAAATCATGCATAGATTACCACCTACAAAGAGGAGCAAAAACTTCATCCTGGCCTTTTGTGGAAAAGTAAATGTGAGACGCATCTGCAGTTGTTGTAAACAAACCTGTTCTCATTTGCCTATTTTCTCTCACAATTGCTCCCGGTTTTCTTATATGCAAATCAAAGTTGATAACACTCAGCCTAGGGTGGCAGAAGAACTTCTCCATCGTGCAAAAGTAGAATTTAAAAGCAACTACGAGCAACACATTGTTCACTGAAAATCTGCCTCATGAGCCTCTCTTGCCATTCTTGCCACAGAGGAAAAAGAAGGAAGGGGATAAAATACAAATGGCAGAGCAGCATTAAATTATTCCAAGGCCAGGCGAACTAGGACCTGAGTGAGACCTTAAGACGGAAGTGCACCAGCAAGGAAAGGAATAGGAAGCCGCATTGTCAGGACCTACGGGATAGGTTGGACTGGCTGTGGGGAATGCCAGGGACAAATCCTGGGCGATCACAGTGGACTCGCCAGGCTGGCCAACAGTGAGTCCCACGGCAAAGATGGGGACATCATCATTCTCGGTACCATGTGGAAATTTGGGGCTGGAGGTTCTTGACTCTGTTTTAGTTCAAGATTTCTTAAGGGAGCTTGGGCGCCTGAGCAGAGTTGCTTCAAGAGTAAAGAACTGCTTTCTACCCCAGAACCATTATCTCCATGAGGGGAAAAAAAAATGAGACCACAATTCCCAGTGAGCAGCATTACAGGCTGAATCGTTGTTCCCCAGTGCCCCAACTCTTTTTTTTTTCTTTTTTGGAGAGGTTTTCACTATAGGGCGTGTGCGCTTGCCAGAAAGACAGAGAGACAGAGAGACAGAAAGTGAGAAATCATCCACCAGGAGAGAGAGACACACCACAATCCCTTCTCCTCCATTCTCCTCTCAGGATCTTGGGCACGCATGCACATGCGCCCGGCATGAGTTTAAGCCGCCAGGCCTGGGACTCAAACCATGGTCGACTATGTGGGAGTCCAGCGACATAGCCATTATGCTAACTGCTGGTCCCTCCACTGCCACAACTCTTATGTTGGAGACTCAACTTCCATAACCTCAGGAAGTGACTATGTTTAGACACAGGGTCGTTTTAGAAGTCATTAAATTAAAATGAGGTCATGATGTCTGGCCTTAATCTAATACTGCTGGTGTCCTTATGAGAAGGAGAGATTAGGACACCCCCACAAATGGAAGCCCATGTGAAGACAGAAGAAGATGATCATCTACAAACCAAGGAAAGAGATCTCAGGAGAAAACAACCCTGCGGACACCCTGACCTCATATTTCCAGCTTTCAGAACTGTGAGGAAATAAATTTCTGTTGTTTAAGCCACCCAGTCTGTAGTATTTGTTATAACGGCCCTAGTCAACTAATGCAAGCAGTTATTGACTTCAGTAGCTACTCTGTCCATCTCATAATGCTACAGCTCCAAGTTGGAAATATCCCAAAGAAAAAGGATTCTTGGTGAGCTCAGATAAGACATCTTTTCTGGTACCTCTTCTCTGTGTACCCACCAGACATTACAATTTTGCACTATTATAAATATGGCACAATTTACCAATATGAATTTTGTGAGAGTAATCCTCACAAGAAGTAATACTTCTCGGGAACCAGCAGTTAGCATAATGGCTATGTCGCTGGACTCCCACGTAGTCGACCACGGTTTGTGTCCCGGACCCAGTGGCTTAAAACTCATGCCGGGCACGTGTGCGTGCGTGCCCAAGATCCCGAGAGGAGAATGGAGGAGAAGGGATTGCGGCGTGACCATCCCCCCGGGGGGTGATTTCTCGCTTTCTGTCTCTATGTCTCTCTCTGTCTGTCTGGCGAGCGCACGCGCCCTACAGTGAAAATCTCTCCAAAAAAAAAAAAAAAAGAAGTAATACTTCTTTTCAAAAAGATAGATTTCCTGGGGTCAGCAGGTGGTATGGTGGTTAAGGGGCTGGATTCCCACATGGTCGACTGTTGAGTTAGAGTCCTGGACCTGGTGGCTTGAAAATCACACTGGGTGTGCATATGTGCATGACCGAAATCCCAGGAGGGGAATGGAGCAGAAGGGATTGCGGCATGGCCATCTCCTCTGGGGAGTGATTTCTCACTTTCCCTCTCTCTTTTGCTGCAGGAGCATAATTGTATTCAGGTATTTATAAGATTCCAACCACCACACTGATTCATTCTCTGCTCTGTCTCTCTCTAGGGAGTGTGTATACCTAATGGCAAAAACCTTAAAAAAAAAAAAAAAGTATAGATTTAATTACTGGCTAGACAGAGTTTGATGTGTACCATATAGTCATGTGCCACGTAACAATGTTTTGGCCAAAAAACAAGCCACATACATGACTTTGGTCCCATAAGATTATAATGGAGCTTTAAAAAATCCCATTATAATCTTATGGGACCAGTGTTATATATGTTGCTCATTTTTTAGCCAAAACATTGTTATGTGGCACATG